AGTGATGATAATTGTAGCAATCAGTCCCAAATACAAACAGGATGTGGAAGGCGCCGAGTCGCAGCTGGACGACGACGAGCATGGCTTACATACTAAGTACATCCATCGGATGGTGAGTGGTGAGGGCACCACAGTGCCTGGCTGCTCCTCTGGAACCGGGACCGTCTCCAGGGAGGATGCTTTTCACTCAAGGTGGCAGGGTGTTAGGGGGAGAGTCTCCGGCCCCCCATGTCAGGAGACATTGTTTTGGTTATGGCTCTGTACACTTGGAGACCCATGGAGAAACACCACTCCTCTGCCCAGTACTCAACTGGTCCTGTCAGTAACTAGGAGATGTCAATCAAGGTCCTAAAAAGCAGAGCGTTGCTCACTCGGCCGTTTACCAACAAATGGGAAACCTTAGGAGGGGAGAAGGTTACTGTAGCTGTTACATTCTGTCCCTTGCTTTTTCAGAGGAGCAAGGTGCAGAGCTGGAAGGACACTTCTGTCATACCAGAAAAGCCTGGGTCACACTAGTTTCCTAAGTACAGGCTCTATGACCTCGGCCCACATACTTGAATGTTGCCCTCCTGCAACCCTGTTCATAACATGGATCACTAGTGCGTGCAATTCTGTGAAGATAAATGAAGTAATGTTTAAAGTATCTGGCACACAGAAAACACCTAACCGGAGAGACTGTTCTTAGTTTGTGATAGGTAGGAAGCATTCTGCTGCCAGACCTACACTATGGGGCCTGGTTAAACTTAACCCATGGGGGGGATTTAGAAGGAATCAACTTGCTCAGCATCTGAGAGAAACTACTGCCCAGCTTTAGAACGAGCTATTTTATGGCCTAGCTGACTTCTTGTCCTTTGTGGGTTTAGAGATACTGTGCAGACCATTTCTGTTTAGCTAGAAGCCAGGCTAGATCTGTGACCTTCAAACTGTCCTGTGGAATCCCTAGTAGGTGCCTTTATGTCTAAGGGTGGGACCGGTCCTGAGCTTCCCAACCTAGAGCTGGTTTCTCTGGCTTGTTTACTTACCAAGGATCCTGAGATTTGAGAAAGTAGGGAAATCCCTGGACTTGAACTCTTAATCCTAGCATCAGTTCTTATCCTGTGTGAGGATGTGGAATAATGTATCATTGGAAGTGGCCCAGATGCAAGGACTGCGCAGCCCAGGGCAGGAAGCAGCCAGCAGTCTCAAGACACCTTTACCTCAGAGGAAGCCAAGTTAAATGCTGTCCGCCCTGTGGTCCAGAGCATCCCAAGAGGGCAGGGTAGCCGTGGAAGCAGCATCCTCATCATCTGGGTCTCTAAGATCTCCATCACCGCTTCCACCAAATGTGGACCACTTGTTGAGCTCAAAACCCAAAGCAGAAGCTAAGCAAGGTGGCAAGATACAGGGGTCAGGCCAAGGGTCTGGGGCTAAGTCTGCCTCCTGTCCGGTCTTACCTAGTGCTAGCCTGTGGTCAGGATCCTGAAAAATAGCACTCCTAGAAATAAACGTATCTATAAAGGTCATGACTGGATCTGGGTGCTCCTATCCCTTAGCTGTCTGTATCATGTCTGGACATTTCCCAGAACATTGATATTCTGTCTATATCTCTAAGAACCTGCCCAGTCCCAGGAGCCAAGCAGCTGATACTTGGGAAGGACTCCAGGTCCCTACCAGTTCCTGGGGAAATCTGCTTAGTTGTGCTGGTGTATGGCAAGGCCATCCAGTAATACACACAGTTCAACCCGAGCTTCGAGGACCATGCCAGCTGTAACCACGCGGTCTCCAAATTTGGTTTCTTGGCCCTAATGTCTTAAGCTCTTCCCCATCTCAGGAGGGACTGGATGTGCCGTCAGATATAGGTGGTGGCGCACGCCTTTAATCCCAGCACTCAGGGAGGCACAGGCAGGCGGATCTCTGTGAGTTCGAGGCCAGCCTGGGCTACCAAGTGAGTTCCAGGAAAGGCGCAAAGCTACGCAGAGAAACCCTGTCTCGAAAAACAAAACAAAACAAACAAACAAACAAAAACCAGATATAGGAGCTCTCCCTATCCCTGGGCTGACTTCGTGGCTTCCTCCAGACACCAATGCGTAATTTCATCAAGCGAGCTCATTAGAAAGCCAGTGCCTCAGAGGAAGTGGGAGAGAAAATAAAACATACCACTGAGGGCTAGTCCTTGACAGACCGAATAGTATACAGTGCCCTGGAAGTCAGACATGAAACCCAGCTCTGCTTTTATCTTAGCAGAGCCCATGCCCTTCCCTATAGGCGCTTACTCTGCAATAGCATGCTTAGACCCTGAACTGCACAGTACTCGGGTCAGCGCAGCGCATGCTTTTGGTGTTGTCTTTTGTGTTTTGAAGGGAGATGGCGCTGAGAAAAGCCCCTGTGGCAGATCTGTGTTGTGTATATCTGTGAGAGTGGGTGCTGGGGAGAGGCTTGTCTGTATTTCCACATTCACTTTCTTCTTGTTTTTATTTCCATGCACAACAAAAGCTTCGCACTTATAGAAATCAATTGGAAGGTGAAATTGTTCGGGAGACATAATTCCTTGTTCTCCTTGCCATCAGCTAGCTGAAAGCTCCATGCCAGTCTTGGGATTTGGAGGACTTTAACTCCCCGATACTGAAAATTCTGATTTTGATAGAGTTCTTGTAGCTAAATCCTCTTGGGTGACCAGAGTGTGAAATCTGATGGATCTGGTGAGGAACCTCAGGCCTGACAGGCTGGGCCCTTCCTGGCTGATTTCCTCGCCCCTCCGCCATCTGTGCTCCAGAAGTGGATCGCTAGACGGTTCCAGCCACCTTACCACACTTCCTCCTGGGCAGGCGCTCATGCCTCTGCCCTTGCCTTCTCCCCATTTTTCCTTACCTGACCAGACTCTTCTTCATGCCCGGTGACCCCTCCCCTGTTACTGTCCTCCACTCGCTGAGGCAGAACAGAGAGCCCCATCCTGAGCCTCCACAGCAATTGTTCACACTCTGCTGTCCTCTGCTTGGTAATTTTCCTTCCTGCTTGCTCATTAGTTGCTAGCTCTGGGAGGATTATCCAAATTGTATCAGAGGTACTCTGCTAAACAGGCTCTTAAAAAAAAAAATCCTGGGTTTGAGCATTTTACTCATTTCCATAATATAAATTTATAAATACTCCCATACGTGGCTATGGAAAGCTAATTATATTATTGGCTACAGAACTGGGAGAGACACGATAGCCTGCTCTCATGAACTGAGGTGGCCCAGCCCCTGCACACTCCTATTCCTCAAAACCCAAAGTCAACACTCAGGCAGCTGACAAAGAAGGACTACTAGGTGTTCGAACCCAACCTGAGCGACACAGTGAGTTCCAGGCCAGTCCAGGCTACACATGAGACCCTGACTCAAAGAAACCCAACCAACAAATCAACAAGGAAATCCAGGGTCCTGGCCAGAACCTAACTTAAAATCCTTATTTATTTATTATTCATTCATTCATTCTGTGTATGTGTATGCATGTGCACACGTGTACACGTGCACATGAATTTGTCACTGAAGTGGAGGTCAGAGGAGAATTTGCAGGAGTCAGTTCTCTCCTTCCACCCTGTGGGCTCCAGGGACAGAACTTAGCTTGTCAGGCATGGCAGCAAACATCTGTCCCTGCTAAGCCAGCTTTCTGGTCCCTAGAATGTGGTTTTTAACAGGCCTTCAGTAAGTGGTTGTACTACTCAGGGATCTCTAGAGGAGCAGAACTTACACACACACACACACACACACACACACACACACACTACAAGGAGAGAGAGAGAGAGAGAAAGGAATTTATTAGAATGGCTTAAAGGCTCTGGTCCAGCTAGTCCAACAATGCTGTCTACCAATGGCAAGTTCACTCATCCAGTAGTTTATCAGTCCAGGAAGCCAGATGTCTCAAGCTGGTCTTCAGTCTACAGCGGGATCTGCAGGCTCCAATCCAGTGAAGGATGTGCTAAGGAGAGTGAAAGCAAACAAAGAGAGATGCTCCCTTCTTCCATTTATACAGACTTCCAGCAGCAGGTGTGGCCCAGATTAGAGGTGGGTCTTCCTCCTTCGAAAGATCTGGATTAAAGGTGCGCCTTCCCACCTCAAAGATCCAGATTAGAAGTGAATCTTCCCACTTCAAATGATTTAATTAAGCAAAAATCCCTCACAGATGTGCGCAGCCAGTTTTGGTTTTAGTTCATTCCAGATGTAGTCAAGTTGACAACCTAGACTAGCCATCATAGTGTTCTGTACAAGCAAAGAGGCATAGTCTGTAATGGGGAGAACTTAAAAATGTAAGTAAGATGGCACTCAAATAAACAACCCAGAAGAAGAAAGATGCCATGTGGGCTGGCAGTATTATTGACACATCACCTTCTCATCTTTGCTCCTAGATGACTTAATTTCATATTTGTTTGATTTTTAGATGCAGATCGAGTTCATAAATCAAGGAAGCATGAATTTCAGATTCATCCCTGTGCTCTTCCCAAATGCCAAGAAGGTAAACAAACAAACAACAAGATCCTCAAATAATTCTGTCTTTGTTTTCAAATCCGGTTTGATGGCTACCTGGGATTGTAGATTGAAAATCTTGTCAACTCTCTGACAGCCCTCAGAGATAGCAGTGTCACCAGAGAGATCAACAGGTTGTACATTGGCCTCGCAGTAGGATTAGAAAAGATCTGCAGGTGTTATCTGGTAGGATCATGGCTGTCCTAATTGCTCAGTCTGTGTACACAAAGGATGGTTTATGCTTAATTACTTTTGTTTGTTTGTTTGCTTATTTCTTGACAGGGTTTCTCTGTGTAGTTTTGGTGGCTGTCCTGGATCCCGCTCTGTAGACCAGGCTGACCTCGAACTCACAGAGATCCGCCTGCCTCTGCCTCCCGAGTGCTGGGATTAAAGGCGTGCGCCACCACCGCCCAGTGCTTAATTACTTTTCTATTGCTGTGATAAGACAGCACGAGCAAGGCCGCTTATAGAAGGAAGGGTTGATTTGGGGTTTGTGGTTCTAAGAGGGATAAGATCCGTCACCATCATGGCAGCAGGTTAGTGTGGCAGCAGGCAAGCATGACATCTAGAACTGGGAGCTGAGAGCTGAGGGCTCACATCCCCAGCGACAAACAGGACACAGAGCGAGTGGCTTTTGAAACCCCAAAGTCCACTTCAAGTGATACGCTTCCTCGAGTCAGGCCATCCCTCCAAATAGCATCACCAGCTGGGGATCGAGTATTCGAATACCCAAGAGTAAGAGGGCATTTATCATCTGATGCTTCTTACCTCTCACATCTTAGAGCCAAAGTGTGGAGACTTTGCTTTCTGCTTCACATACATATTTTGTTGCACACAGTTCCGTCTTCACAACCTGTGGAGTACAGGCCCTGAATCCACACAGCTCTCTAAGTGAGCCTTGCTGGGATTCACATGAGGGTTTTGATCATATTCCAAAGGGTATGCAGACAGCTTTAGAGAATGTAAGTCAAGCCACTAGAGAACACTTTCCAGGCCTGGCAAAGGGAAGACAGCAGCTAAGTAAACAGTTGGAGACTCAGACCAGAGCACTCTGAGCTCAGATGCAGCCTCTTTCTGGAGTATTCCGAGATGTCAGGACTACGTTGAAACCTCTGCCCCACAGTAGAGACAGCCCAATCTATGTGAATGGGACACCCAGGGTTGGGCAGTGCACAATGCATATGAAAGGACCCCTTATTCTCTCTGGCCTTAACTTGTCTGGGGATTAAATGCAATCATTGACTGGCAAATCTCTTTACTGGTTTCCCCATTTCCTCTGGGACCCTGTACTAGCCACCTTCCACTTTGCCAGCAAAGAACTGCAATGTGAATCTCTCTAGTTCCAAAATTCTGTGACGTTTCCCACTGACTTCAAGACACTGGCTACCTTCCTTAGCATGACCCATGAGGCTCTTTGGAATAGGACTGTGTCCACTTACTCCTTTTCCTCCTTCTCACCTGGTGCCTCTGCTTTGGCCATAACGGGCCATGTCAGCTCCCCTGTGTTCTTTCTACCTAGGTGTCTTTGCCTCTCTGTTCCCTCTCCCTATGATGCCCTTCCCCAACCTGTTGACCTAGTGAACTCCTGCCCATCCTTGGATCCTTGCAACCTCTCTAGCATGTGAGGGTCTCCTCTCCCCATGCCTGTGTAAGGCGTGCAGAGGCTGGGACATGGTGGCTCCGTGGTATGCTATTACCTAGAAAACAGTTATGCTGGTTTTGCCTCCATGTGGGATTTTCACTCCTCAAGACGGTTACTGTGCCTTCTCATTGGCTGCCTTCTGCACTCAACACGAGTGCTGGTTCTGAACCCGGGCTACAGTCCCCAAAGCAGCTCATCTCACCATGGAAACCACAGGCCTTCCGTGGGCCCCGGTCCTCTGCCACAGCCCCTCAGTTCTGTCCCTCTTCACCCACTCACTGCCACTTTTTCTGCTGCCGCCACTGTGACCTTGTTGCCTTTGGACATGCCTAGCAGTTTCCATGCCTGTGTGCCTTCCCCTAAGCCCGCTCTCAAACGCTGCAAACGGTTCCCTTCTCCACCAGCATTCCCCAGGTCCTTTCTGTTGAGGTTACCATTGCCTCTCCCCACCAGAATACACGTGCTCCACAAGGGCAGTCCTGAGGGCGGTCCTGAGGGTGGCCGGGTGGAACCCCAGCCTCACGGTTCTGAGATCTGTTCTGCTCCTTCCACTTCAGGCCAGACCTGAGGCTGGAGTGAAAGAATCGTGAATTCTATTAAGCCCGCCACGCTGGCATCCTTCCCGCAAAGCCCCAGGGGGATTCACATCATTCGGTATGACCTCCGTCCCACCCCTTTCATGGGCAGGTGGTGAAAAGCACGTTGACATGCAAAGGGCAGGTAGCCTGGGAGAGTGACAGAAAACGCTGTGCACATGTGGTTTCCATAATGAGACACACAGCTTGCACCCGAAGCCAAAAGTGCTCTCTGCGTGTTAAACCCTCCAAAAGCAAAACAGCAGCTCCCAAGACAGCCTGGCGGGAACGCCTATGGAGGGCCAAGCCCAGAACTGTTCGGAACTGAGCCCCGGATCCGGGGTCCAGGCTTCTCTCCCGTGACCTTTGCTCCCGTCCTCTCTCCCACAGGAGCACGTGCCCACCTGGCTCCAGAACACTCACGTTTACAGCTGGCCCAAGAATAAGAAAAACATCCTGCTGCGGCTGCTCAGAGAGGAGGAGTATGTGGCTCCTCCCCGCGGTCCTCTGCCCACCCTTCAGGTGGTGCCCTTGTGACACCAGCCTTCTCCAGCTCAGTGCAGTCCTGTTCTCACCGCATCCTTCTGGCCGAGACCGGGTGGTGGCACCCAGGCCTGTCTCTGTGTCTTCTAGGGGGAGTCGGGCCCCAGAACACCTCTTCTGCGGGGTTCTCTGCCTCCTAACACTTGGCTGCTCTGTATTTCCTGCCTTTTACAAAACACACAAGGTGCCCGGGTCCTCCTGAGCCTGAGTTGCCCACCTTGGGCTTCCAGTACTTTCAGCGAGTGGATACTACAGGGGATGGATGGCAGCAAACGCCTATTACCACTATACTATAACTAAACCGCTCGTCACTTCAGCTGCGTCTATGAGTTGGCCAGATGCTGTGTCCTTAGACCAATCTGACTCATGTCCAAATAATAAAATGATTACTCTTCGTAAGAATGTGTTTCATTTATCTGAATGGAGACAGTCATATTAATTTATATTGAAATGGGCAGGTGTGGGAACATCAACAAAACTGCTTAGATATAGTATAGATAAAGGTGATAGAGTTCTCTGTATTAAAGGATTAGAACCAGAACATTAAATACCCTTTTTATTTAACTATAAAGGGTTTACTCTTACAGTTGAGGTTTTTAACAGAACAACCCTGATTGTAAACAGTGTAATGGAGCAGGCAGTGTGGCTCAGTGGTTGAACACTGGCAATTCCCAGCACTGCAAGAAGAGGAAAGGGGCTGAGTGGTGGTGCACACCTCCCAGAGCTTGGGAGGCACAGGCAGGTGGAGCTCTGTGATCCAGGACAGCCAAGACTACACGGAGAAACCCTGTCTTGGGAAGAAAAAAAAAGAGAGAGAAAAGTCCGACCATTTATGTAAAAAACACCAGAGTCTATGCATGAAGTAACAGGGATGTTTCACACAGGCCGGAGTTGTGGTCTAAGTTTTCTAGTCTCTGTCCTACTCCTAAGCACCTGCGACTAAAGAAAGTCTTTCCACTTTTCTGGGACCTTGGGTACTCGTAAAATCATATGGACCAAGCGATTTCTAATGAACCTAGAAGGTCTGAAATCTGGGACCTAAACGCTAAATTTTCTTTTGAGAAGTAATTGTTTATTTCTTACAATCACATCTCCCAGGGGATAAGTTTAATTTTACTTTTTATTTATGCTTTGTTTTTTAGAGAAAGGATCTCACTATGTAGTTCTGGCTGGCCCAGAACTCAATCTATAGAGCAGGCCAGTCTTGAACTTACATCGGCCCTCCTGTCTTGGCCCTCTAAGTGCTAGGATTGAGGTGTACACTAGCATGCCTACTGTCTCCGTTCCTGTTCCACTGCTGTGAGGAGATGCCATGACCAAGAAGACTGTGTTTAAAAGAAAGCATTTAACTGGGGGTTTGCTTACAGTTTCAGAGGGGGAGTCCATGGTTATCATGGCAGGGAGTGTGGCGGCAGGCAGGCAGGCGTGGTGCTGGTGTTGTAGCTAGGATCTTACGTCTTATCGGCAAGATGGAGGCAGAGAGGGAGGGAGCCTGGGCCCTGGCATTGGCTTTTGAAGCCTCAGAGCCTACCTGGAGTGACTCACCTTCTTCAGCAAGGCCACACCTCCTAATCCTTCCTAAACAGTTCCTAAACAGTTCACCAACTGAGAACCAGACACTCAGATATCTGAATTTGGAACCGTTCTCCCTGAGACCACCGCACTGGACTAGATTTTCTTTTTTAAATGAAATTTTAACCAGTTGTTTTAAAAATTGATTCATAATAACAAAAACCACACCTTAATGGTTTTTGCTGATTATTTAGAAGAGTCTTACTGTGTAGTTCAGGCTGCCCTATAGCTGCTTAGGCCCCCCAGACTGGCTTGTAATGTGTGATCCTGCTGCCTCTACTTCCTGAGTGTTGCAATTATAGGCATGCATCAATGTATCTGATGGAACTTGCTCCTCCCAGACCCCAGTACTGAAGACTGAGTCTGGGGCCCTGGGCATGCCCTAACATGAGCCACATCCCTAGGTCTCTGGTACACTCTCTTCTCCAAAAAATGTCTTCAACAATACACTCAACTCAATAATTTGGACTTATTTAGTCTCTAAAGAAATGACACAGCCATTTATAAAACGTGTGTGTGTGTGTGTGTGTGTGTGTGTGTGTGTGTGTGTGTGTGTGCGATCTAAATGAACTGTTGAACCCTTGTTCGACAAAAAAAGATCAATAAAAAAGATGCTTGGGTTGTGAGAGCTATTACTTCCTTTTTCTGCCTGATCTGGTAAGCAAGTTTCAACTTTGCTATGAGATAGTTATGCCTCAAATGTCATTATAGAGAAAGACAAATACTCTTTAGCTACAAAAAAGAAAAATTGCTAATGAATTGTAAAGAATACAGTTTGACTACTTTATGTCCAACATGTCCACTGAGTAAATACTTTAAAAAAGAAAAAAAAAACGAGCATAATTTAATTGCTCGCTTGTATGACTTTATGGCAATAATAATGACTTCAATGGCATTTTAGATCTAGTAGAGTTTTCTTGTTTGGCCAACTCTGAATTCCTGGAAAACATTCCAAACACCAACAACTTCAAGGCTTTTTTTTCTCTTTTCATTATTGTTTTGTTTTGAGGTGAAACAATTATTGAGGATTCAACATCTGTAGAAATAGCCCAGCAATTATTTCTTTGAAATGTTTCCAGCTTGCAAAGATTTAGTAATGTAATGTTATTAACCTTCCCCCACTTGAGAGGTTTCCAGAGCATTCAGCCAATAGTCCCTTCTATTCTTCCTGTCCCGGGTGGTTAAAGGTCCCAGGTGTGCC